CAGCCCCCTATTTGGGCAAAGCTGGTTGCTGCCTTCGGACTCCACCTGCCTCTGAGGGTCACCGCTGCCCTGAAGATGACGTCTGGATTCAGGCAAGAAAGGGCGGGGCAGAGAGGCTGAAATTTGGAACTGGAGAGATGCGGGTTGGGGAGGGGAGTTGGCAGAGCTGGAACAGGGCGAGTGGGCATCCTGACATCTGTGGAACAGGACCTTTCTGGGGTCCCCGAGCAGAACTGAGACCCAGCTGGGATGAATACATTTGGGCCTCTTCTCTCTTGCTTTATTTGCTTTCTTAGCCATAAAAGCCTGCACGTGACCAGTTCCTGCTTCCTCATTTAAAATCACATGCATTATTTTATTTCATTTAGTAACTAATTTTGAGAACCAGTATTGTGCTAGGGTCTGTGTTAGGTGTTGTTAATACAGGCCTAGGCAAGATCCAATCTTTGCCTGATGCAGATTAAAAAGTAACCGTGAGAGAAAATGAATAGTATGTGCATTAGAATTTCAGATGCAGTGAGTGCTATGAATGTGAAGGCTGCACCAGGGCGGGAAAAGTGGGAGTGGGGAAGAAGGCTCTCTGAGGAGTCGAGGGAGTGGCCTGAGGCAGATCTGAGGATGCCCCCTAGAGAGGGAGAGCTCTACATCGGAGCTCTTTGCCAGTGCAAAGTCCCTGAGCTTTGGAAGAGCTTGGCTTGTTGGAGGAGTGAAAGGCAGTGAAGGAAGAGAGATGGCATTTATGAAGTTTGGCTTTGGGAAAAATACAGATTTGAGGGTTCTAATCTGGAAGCGCTAAATTTGAGATGCTCATTAGGTAGCCAAGTGGAGGAACAACATCTGAGGATAGAGGTCAGGGCTGGAGGGTGTGAACCTAGGAGTGACCAGTGCACAAGTGCACTCGCTAAGCAGAGAATATATGTGCAGAAGAGAAGAGGGAGAAACTGTGCCCTGAGGTCCTCTGAGATTTGGAAGTCATGTTTGGGTGGAGGCAGAAGCAACAAAGATTTGTCAGTGAGTATGTTAGTCAGCTTTCTATTACTATAAAAATACTAGAGGTGATTAACCTTTAAGGAGAAAAGGTTTATGTTGGCTCAGTTTTGCAGGTGCCAAACCATGGGTTGGTCATGCTGCTTTGGGGCCCTCAAGGTGGGAGCATATGGCAGAGCAGAACTGTTTACCTCATGGCCAGGGAGGAATTGGGCCAACAAAAGAATTGAGGAGGAGGCTGGAGTCCCAGGCCCCTTCAAGGGCAAGCCCTCAGTGACCTTGGCACCTCCCATTAAGTCTCGCCTCTTAAAGCCTTCTACATCCCAGTAGCATCTCCTTGCCTACCAAGCTTCTAAAACATGGGCCTCTGGGGTACATTTGAAACCCAAACTTTAACACTGAGGTGGAGGAGAGCCAGGTCTGGGTGTTACACGGAAGCCAAGACCCAGGCAATTGTGTTATGTGTTGCTGAGAGGCTGAGCAGGAAGAAGACAGAAATGATGACTATTTCTGCCAACGAAGAGATCTTGGAATTTGTGCCACCAACTGATGAGCATGACTTAGAAAATCAGCCCATTTCAGAGAAACCAAGCCTAGCACACGATGACAGATCATACCACTCTGGGTCTGGTGACCTTGCCCAGAGCAGTGTTCATGATATGATGGATGCGGAAGCCAGATTGGAGTGGGCAGAAGAGTGACTTCGAGTAGAGTTCCAGACATACACATACCCTTTACTACTGCCCCACCAAAACCCCCTCAAATACCAGATTTAAATGTAAATGTGCAAGGGCAATAAAATGAGTATGTTGATGACAGCAGTTGATTTAACAGGCAGAACAAAGGTAAAAGACCAGAAGTAGGTGACTTACTACCTCAGAACCCCAAAGTCTCAGAATTGGGCAGATAGAGCACCTAAGAGTGGTGTGTTTGTGACTCTGGAAACAGAATGTGATCAGGTGAAAGGAGATGGAGTTAGGGGCTCTTCTCATACCAGGCCGCCACCCTCTGCCCCTCTCACAACTGTCACTAGTGTGAATTCTTAGAAGTCATACACAGGCCAGTTTCACAGCTAAAGTAAAATAAAAGTTTATTATAGGAAAGAAACACATCTGGCTGCTCCACAAACAGCAGCCCCACATGAAGGAGGCATCTCACTCTTATGAGGTTTCAAAGGAATTTCATTAGTTCATAGTTTTTTTTAAGCGGGGGCAGAGTTCTCTGGATGGGATGGAATTTAGTTACTTTGTATGGATTCGAGCACATCCTGGTTCTGTATCTTGGGGAGTGCATCTCCTTTGATTAATTTGTTCCACATCTCCCCATTACCCAAATGTGCAGTTGGCTGTTTTCTTTTCTCTTCTGCACTTGTATTCTCTTCTTAGCCTGTGACTTAACACACCTGTGGGCTGGTGACTCCCAGGTTTATACCATCCAGCCTTTCAAAATCCTGTTATCTTCCTGCCCCAGTCATACACTTGGACTCTGGGGTCAGACATGCTCTGTCCAAATCCATCTATTAGTTCTTTTGCCATTTGACCTTGAGCAAGTGACTTAACCTGTTTGAAACACCTGTTAGCTCCCTGCCTCACAACCAACAGGCGGATCCTTCCCAAAGTTCACAGACAATGGGAGACATATTTTCTAGAGAGAGTGAACTACAATGAAACTAAATGGGGACACCAACTAGAGCTGATGGTGGGACACAGAATTTAAAATCAGATGATGAACTCAGAGTCTGCATATTGAACAGTGGGACTCCCTATCGATGCCCTTTCCTGTATGGATTCTACTCCATCTCCTGCTTTTAATTCTTTTGGGTCTATGCCTTGAAGTAGAATTGCTGGATCATGAGCTAATTCTATGTTTAATTTGTTAAGGAACTGCCACACTATTTCCCACAGCAGTTGCACATCTTACATTCCCACAATCCAGTTTATCTACATCCTTACCAACATGTGCTATTCTCTGCTTATTTGACAACAGCCATTCTAACACACATTGTTATTTCATTGTGGTTTTTATTTGAATTTCCCTAATTATTAGAAATGTCCAGCATATTTTCATGAGTTTATTGGACATTTGTGTATCTTTTTTGGGGCAATGTCTATAAATGTGCTTTGTCTAGACCCTCCACTTTTATTTATTATCCATTGCTAGACCAAATTTTATATTTAGCATATGAACCATATATAAGAACAATTTTCATATTGAATTTACATGTAGAACATTTGCATATGCAATACAGTATGAATATGTTAAATATTTTTTATTTGTAGATCATTTTTATAATACAAATCAATATTACATATATATATATGCCCAGGTGCAGTGAGTCTAGAAAAAATGTAGTGATATTTTATGGATTTCTCATCCTAAAATATGGCCTTAGATTTCTTGCTACTTCCTTCTCCCTTTTCTCTTTCATAAATATAAATGAACCTATTTTAAAGAAAATTTTGTATATCACTGTTGTAAGCTGTTGCAGGATTTAAAAGACAGGCTAGACCACTGGGAAACAGGAGGATTTTAGGTGAACACCACCAGCTCGATGGACTAAGGTCCAGAGGAAGAGTCTTAGCAAGGAGTTTATAGAAACAGGACAAGGGCAGACAGTTTCGTAATTTAGCCTTGAAAGAAGACAGAGTCTTGTGAACTTTGTGAGAACAAGATGACATAAACTTTGTCTACAGGACATAGTTACCAATTTTATCTGTACCAGAACAAGGAATTATAGTTGTGGGCTGGAGGGTGATGGGGGAACTACCCAAGGTTTGGAAAAATTTGTTTTTCTTTAAGTCCTGCTTCAAGTTGATAGTAAATTTCACTTCTCGTAATAGAATGTAACACGAAAGATGAATACAGTAGGTATAATTCAATTCTAGGTGGATTCTATTCCCTGTAGCCTGATCCTGTTTTCAGAGGACCTCAGTCTAGTGCTGAAGCCAGTGATAAAAACATAGCAACACCCAACAGATACTTTTCCCTGAGATAGTAAGGACTGGAAAGAAAATTGATTTGTGATTCTGTGTTAATCAAACTGTGACACTGCTTCTCTGAACTCTTACTTGTATCAGAGTATTAGGGTGTTCTGTAATAAAAAGCCAATTGTTCAGCCCGCTGATGTCTGTGGAAGTTCAGCTAAAGAATATGTATTTATTAAACAGGCTGGCTCTTTATTTTTATTTTTTTCTTTTTATTGAGTTTACTGGTACATTTTAGGTATACAGTACAATTACATTCATTATTGGGATCTTGTACCTTTACATGACAGGTCTTGGTTCTCATTTTTTCTCCTTGTTCCTGCCCTCCCTTCACCCTCTTAGGTTGGTTCTTTAAAACCACTGCCTTTGAGTATTTAACTTTTTTTTTTTCTGTACTGGGGATCAAATCCAGAGCTTCATATGTGCTAGGTAAGTACTACAGCATTTAAATTTTTGATTACTGTACATTCTGACCTACAGCCCATGACGAACGTGGAAGACTCAAATGGGAGATATTATCCAAACCGTCCCAATATAGATGAATTAACTGGAGCTTTGACTCAGGAAAGGAATTAACCTGATCTTTAGAGATGTCAACCAAATCCTGTGCTTTCCTGCTTTGAATCCCTGAATGATTTGACTCCTGCCTTTCCTCCCTCCCTCTCTCCCTCCTTCTCTTCCGTCTTTCCTTTTTTCTTCCCTTCTCTCCCTCTTTTTCTTTTAAATTTTAAAATTCTGGGGCCAGAGATTTAGCTCAGTGGTGCCTCACCCGCCTGGCAAGCCCAGTGTCCTGAGTTCAATCCCCAGTACCGAAGACAAACAAACAAGCAAATAAAATAAAAATAAACAATTTTTAAAAATTCTGATCAAAGCTATAGATACAGGGTTGGGGATGTAGCTGAGCAGT